GCATATACATATACATATACATATACATATACAATACATATACATTTACATATACAAACATTTACATATACAATACATATACATTTACATATACATTTACATATACATATATATATATATAAATGAACGCTTTTATATTTTGTTCGTATAAGTGAGGTCGGATGGGTTCCTTTGTATTGTTTCAGATTGATCCACAGAGACGTAGCTCATTCACTCTATTGCATATATTTGTATACATGTTAATAGGTAGTGATATGTCAATAATCCATGTATATACGTGCTACCCTGGTATTCTGAGAGGCATTAAAGGGATTTCCCGAAGCCGCTTTCTCTGGAAACCCAGGGGAGAACAAACTCGTTGGTGACGTTCACTATCAGTGTTGGTTACTAATGGCAACATTGATCCCGTACGCAACGATACATACTAAATTGCATATGGGCATTATGTAGACGAGTATATTAGTATAAGTAAGTATATGTGAAAGCACACTTTCATGGAGGATATGAATGGGGATTCGTATCGAAATATAGATTCTCAGTGTATGTATATATAAAGCATGTAAGTAGTACACACACACACACCTTACCCACAATTCACCCGTCGTCAGTCATCAGGCTCACAACCCCAACCCCTTCCCAATGTACCCCAACTTCCGCTCCCCCCTCTACCCAGGCGAATCCGACGACGAGATTGAGATCAAACTGACGGAGGTCAACAAGCGCGCTGTGCTGACCTTCCCCAAAGACACAGAATTTACACACGAGGTGTTCACAGCCAAGATCATCGAGCTTCTGAGTGGGCGCGGCCGCAAGGCTACGGACAAGGGATCTATTGTGGACCTTATGGAGCAGCTTTTAGAGGTGTGTTGGATGAGGCTGTGGCGTAGACGGATGTTTTTCGTTTGGCTTTTGACTCCCGTATGACAGGTGAATGCCGCGAGGGTGTATAAGATGGCTCTGACATCTGTTGGGCGGAGGTTTGAAGTGCTCCAGTTTTTTGCTTTTACCCTACATATCGATTAAACCCTAGAGCCCCAAGATTGTACCTTATACCCTAACCCCTCCTCAGGGCTTGCTCCCAGCATTCATTAAGAGTAGAGTCACTCTGAACCCCCACACAACTAAGTGACGACATGCACTGTTTACACTTCCTATCATGCACTGTACGGCCAGCCTGTCTATAACGTGATAGTGGGTATATGCTTGGTTCGGTTGGTTGTTTCAACCCAGTACTCTTGACTAAAACCCTAAAACCCTAAAACCCACACAGCTGAGTGATGAGAAAGAGATGGGACTGGGCATGCATGTCAAGATTGTCCTGGCGCTCATCGCGGCACGCTTTGACTCCGTCAAAGCCTCACAACAGTGCATGGACGTGTCCACGTGGAAGGCGTCTCTGACCGACTTAACCAAGGTGCTGGAGATTGTGGCCCAGAACGAAGACATGAAGGTCCTGCGCAACCTGCTCGAAGACGAAGAGATATACGAGACCACCGACGGCAAGCCCGTCATGCAGGTGGCCGGGGATTTGATGTCGTTTATTGAGCGTCTGGAGGAGGAATGGACACGCTCGCTGCAGATTATCGATCCACACACACAGGAGTATGTGAACAGACTCAAGGACGAGCTCACGCTCATGGAGGTGATCAAGAAGACCCAGGCCATCCTCGAGAAGGAGGGTGACGGACCTACCATCTGTATGTGGGTTAGTTGTACATGACGTTGAGTGATGTGTGGGTGGATATGTGTATATGTAAGATGTTTATCTGACGATGATGTAGTGCTTTTGAAGTCCCATGTCATCCTAATATATATATATATATATATATATATATAGTGTGTGATAAGCATGTAGGTAGGTGATCTCGGATGGAAATGCCCAAGGTGTCCTGCTTTGGGTTGATCTTCGCTAGTCACACCCAGTTCGCTCAACTCCTTCGTCCGAATTAAAACTATATCTAGTCTTCACACAGAAATGTTGGTGTATTGCCATTGATACGAGTACAAACACTCACAGACCACTCTCACACTGACGCCCTACACTCTACATGTATACACCCGTCTGATTGACCACATATACCCTAAGCCCTAAAACCCACAGTCATTCACCTTCTACTCTTGTTATCGCCCCCCAGGTCGTGTATATATCCGTCTGATTGATCACATGTACTTCAAGAGTGATTCGCTTCTGACAAAGACCTTCGCCGCGCTGCGCTTGCGAAGCTCAGATGAGAATGCCAAGGCGTATCCTGAAGAGGCTGATCCCTTCGGTGTGATGCTGAAGTATTGCAAGTACCTATACAAGCACGACCACAGGTATATATATATATATGTGTGAATATAGAAATATAGACAAGAATATGGGAGGATTAGGTTAAGTATACATAGTAGTATTTGGGAGAAAAGTTCGATTTGTATAGTTGAACAGTACGAGTCAGAGAGTGTGTAACTGCACTATAGCACAGAGCAAACTATTCGCTTAATCAATTCCCTTGTTTGTTTCCCTCGCAAGTGCGAAACGCCATGCTCCACCCAACCCTCCCTATCTGCATCCAACCAACCCCGCACACTAGTTTCCCAAACTAATTCCTCAAATTAATTCTGCCATTAGTGCGCGCCTGCGTACCCGCGCCATGCTGTGCCACATCTACCACTTGGCCATCAGTGACGAGTGGTTCAAGGCCCGAGATCTCATGCTGATGAGTCATCTGCAGGAAACCGTGACCGCGGCCGATATCCCCACACAGATCCTGTTCAATCGTTCTATGGTGCAGCTGGGACTCTGTGCGTTCAGACAGGGGCGGATACCTGAAGCACACTCGTGCCTACACGAGTTGTACGCGTCGTCCCGTCACAAAGAGCTTCTCGCACAAGGTATGTGTGCGTGTATGTGTGTGGGTGCGTGTGCGTGCATGTGTACGTGTACGTGTACGTGTATGTGCGTTGTGGGCTTGTTCAGCGGTGTGATTGTAAACGTATGTATAGCTGAGTGGAATGGTTTGTACAAGTCGTTTGTTCGCAAGGTGGGCTGTTATGCGGGTGCTTATTTGAAGCGTACGCATGTGTATGTGCACTTATTATAATCGTGAATATTTACGTTTAGCGTGCACGTCTATATATGGAGGGCCAACGATTCTGGAATGATGCATAACATGTCTATGTGTATGATGACAACTGATTAACCGTACAATCACCATCTTTCGGCTGACCAAATCGTTGACCCCGTTTGTATTGAACTGTGCTATGTTTGTGTGTATGTATGTATTACCTTGTAGCACTAAATGAGTGCATATGCTTATGTATTATATCTGTTACGGGTGTGTCATCCGGTCAAACTGCACACGAGCACATACCCCTCATCGCTTCCACAGTTCCCATTTTTGCACCAGTTCCGTATTTGGGATTCCTTCTTATCTTAATTTTCCTATTCCCAATTTTCCCTATCCGCGCCGTGTTCGCTCGCCCCAGGTCTGATGAACACACGCTACCACGAACGTGATGTGGAGGCCGAGAAATTGGGTCGTCGTCGTCAAATCCCCTTCCACATGCACATCAACCTGGAGCTGTTTGAGTGCGTATACATGACCTGTGCTATGCTTCTGGAGATCCCCAACATGGCTAACATGGACAATCGTCGTCGCATCATCTCAAAGCCGTTCCGTCGTGTGCTGGACAGTGCGAAGAAACAGGTGTGTACTGTGTGGTGGGTGTCTGTTGGACCTATACCATGCTAGTGAAGTATAGTGCGAAGTGTGTGTTGTTGTGGTAGTTGTCTTATGGACGTAGAAGTGCATGCTAAAGAAGTACACTTGACCGATTTCTCAGTGGCTTTTGACTGATTTAGGGTTTAGGGGTTTTATTACCCTATGCCATGCTAATGAAGTATAATCGACCGGTTTCTATGTCGCGGGTTTGCAGAAGTCTAATCTTTTGAGAATTGTCGTACTTTGTGTGCATTGCCATACTCTACCCACAGCGTGTCTAAAAGTTTTTTTATTGTCCTATTGTTTATGTATCGACATAAGTCTGCAGGCAGTAATATGAAGGTCCTGCTGCGTACGCTCTGCGTGTTGTCGTAAATTCTGTTGATTGTCGTAAATTCTATTAATTGTCGTACTGTCGTACTTTGTGTGCACTGGCATCATTTAGCAAGTACTGTGAAGTCTGGTGTCTCTGCTAGCCACCCTGTCCCGTACCGAATCCCCAATGATGCATAACATGTCCAATCGTCTGAATTACAACTGATTAATTGTACAATCACCATCTTTCGGCTGAGGGGCTTTTTGTCGTATCATGGTGTGGGCCGGTGTATGGCAGCTGTGACGGGGTTGTCTTCTAGAAACATATGTCACACAACCGAGTATTATCAAACATAAGTCGCCATCTCTTGTCTCAAATCGGGATTGTTTGTAAACACTCGGTAGTTTCCCTCGCACCAGTACGTGTTATATATTTTCTTCTCCAGTATGCCTGTACTTCAATAAAGCCTCTCAATAGATTCTGGTACCAACTCATTGAGTGTGTACTAATAAGCCCCCTTCTCCCTCCCGCCCGTTCTAAAAATAGACCTTCAACGGACCACCCGAGAACACACGTGAGCACGTACTTGCCGCAGCCAAATGTCTACAGAGAGGCGACTGGAAGCCGTGCTATGAGCTCCTATGCGAAATCAAGATCTGGTCTCTATTATCGGCCGATAAGGATAGAATCCTGAGTATTCTCAAGGCCAAGACACAAGAGGAGGGTCTCAGAACCTACCTGTTTGCATACAGTGGTGTATATGCGAGCATTTCTCTACCTGACTTGGCGTCTATGTTCGAACTGTCTGAGTCTCAGGTATGTATCGTATACTGCTTCGAGACATGTTGTATATATATGTATGTATATGTATATGTATACATCTTGCATAGAAATTTTTGAAAGCTCATCATAGCTATGACTTATGTTTTTTTTGGTCGTTCATAAGTTTGTAGCTTTGTACCCATACGTTTGTAATGTCTGCGAATTCTATTCTGCGACTGTGTCATGGTCCTTCGTCATAGTTCGTTGTTCTTGTCGCGGCTATCCTTGATGATGCAGAGCATGTCCACTTGTATGATTCTACAACTGATTAATTGTACAATCACCATCTTTCGGCTGAAGGGAAGCGTCCGCATGCCACGTACACTACCAAACCGGCACAGACACCTCTGCCCTTTTCGTAGTACCAATACAACTCTGCAACCAACCCAACCCCATCCCGAGTGTCTTGTAGCCTCCCCCCTCTTTCCTATCCCTTCCTTAAACCCTAAAACCCCTCTTTCCTATCCTTTCCTTCCGTTCCTTGTATCATGTCGCATCCCCAGGTACACGCCATTGTCTCTAAGATGATGATCAATGAGGAGATCCAGGCCAGTTGGGACCAGCCCACGGCCACCATTGTCATGCATCGTGCCGAGCCTACCAAGCTGCAGCACTTGGCTACACAGCTGGCGGAGAAGGACGCGTACTTGGTGGAGTGCAACGAACGGTTACTGGATATTCGATCGGGTGGTTATGGCTACAAGGACAACAGCAGAGTATGTGTGGTTGATTGGTTGGTGGGCTGTGTGTTCATGTGAGGGGAGTATGTTGGTTTATTTTTATGTTAAGTGTAATTATGACTATAAGGACAACAGCAGAGTATGGGTGGTTGATTATTTGGTGGGCTGTGTGTTCGTGTGAAGGGGAGTATGTTGATTTGTTTTTATGTTAAGTGTGGTTATGGCTATAAGGACAACAGCAGAGTATGTGTGGTTGATTGGTTGGTGGACTGTGTGTTTGTATGAGGGGAGTATGTAGGTTTGTTTTTATGTTAAGTGTGGTTATGGCTATAAGGATAATAGCAGAGTATGTGTGGTTGATTAGTTGGTGGGTTGTGTGTTCACGCGTGGGGATGGATTCAAGGATAACAGTGAGGGGGGGGTGTTTTTTGCTTATAAGTTTGGTTATAGATACAAAGATAGAGCGGAGCTATGTCTGTTTGTGTGCTTAAGGGTGCAAGGATATCAGCAGAGTATGTTTGCTTGTGTGTGGTTGTAGAGGCAAGAATAGTATCAGAGTATGTTTTTTTTGTGCCTGTGCGTGTGTGTGTATGTGTGTGTGGAGGGGTTGGTTTGGTCGTGGATTACTTTCTGGCACATTTGGTTCTTCAGTTAAAAATTGTCGTTTCTGAATTCGAAATCGTGTATTCGCTCCAACAATGGATTCTTTTTCACGCGCATCTATGTGCATGTTGGAGAGAGGGTATAAGATCAAATGTACCTGAGTGATAGTATACATACACGCATCTGCTAACATACCACACACCCATCTATGCTCGTATTAGGGAGGATACAACAACCGGGGTGACCAAGGTGGCCGAGGTCGTGGCCGTGGCCGCGGCCGCGGACGTGGTGGTCGAGGACGTGGGGGTGGTAACACGGACGGAGGCAATAGAAATAGTCGTCAGTATTAGGTTCTTATAAGTGTTCGCACAC